CATCGGCGGGACGAACGTCCTCGTTCTGTAAGCTGTGTGTTTAAACTCACGGCGCCCCCGCGCGCAGCCCTGCGGTAACTGAAGAAAGTTTGAACCACAGCGAGCGAGACACGGGTCGGGGAACAGACGGCGCAGGAAGCTCGCGCACGCACACGCACCAAGCAGGTACACGCACGCAGCCCCGCGCGAGCGCCCGCGCTGTCCTCTCCTGGGAGGAGCTCCAGCCGGGGCAGGAGGGCGGTTCCAGGGCGCTGGCCTCTACGACTGGACGTGCTGTCCGAGCCTCCGCTCCACAGCCGCCTTCTTGGGCTCCCTTCCGGAAGGAGGACACCTCCTCGTCAGGCAGAACTGGGGCTCCCTCTCCCGACACAGCGACCTCCGCCGGGAAGCCCCTTCCTCACCTGCGCGCTCCCCTCACAAGGCAGCAGCGCGTGAACCGGCATCCACCGCGCCTGCGCGAGCCCGGGCGGTCGGGTCGCCCCCGCCTCCCGCCTGCGAGACTGCGACTGGCCCGCAGCGGGGCCGGGGAGGAGCGCAGCCTCCTATTGGCCAGCGCTCTGAGCCGGCCTCCGCTCACGCAGCTTTCAAATTGGAGCGCGCGCTGGCGCCGTCCGCCCTGCACACGTTGCCACACAGAGACGCCTCCCGGCACTGCCCGGCTGCACCGCCTTGGGTGGCCAGTACTGCTCCACGTTTCGGTTACGCGGTCGGCAGTGCTTGTCAGAGCAGAGAAGGAGCTGGAAATCACCTCAAAGAAGGAATAGTGAAATGAAACGGAGATACTTGATCTGGGGAAGGGCGTACGTGGTACTTCTCTTCGTTTAAGTATTTTTCACCTGGAAGATTTTACTGCTTCAGAGGACACGTCTAAGACCAAGGGGTGAATATTAAAGCGATACAAAATTTAGCTCAATAAAGCATTCTAGCGATTACAAATCTGAAGAACAGAACAGGTAAACCTGGGAGATAGTGAAGTCTTTCCTCACTGGGAGTTGGTTAGGGATGGCGCAGAAGGGATGCTTGCATTGGGTGGCGTTTGGAAGAGATGACTTTTAAGCCTTTTCTAACTCTAAAAGTGTGGTCCTACCTGACCAAGAAAGTACCTGGTCATAGCTGAGCCAGCCTTGACTTCTCGAAGGTTCCTCTGCCAGAGGCGAATGCTGCATGACCTGACTTGAATCTAGAGGACATGGCAGGAACTTGACTAGCCTTCACTAACTTTGAATGCTGTGGGTGGAAAAAACCACAGCAAGCTCATCTCACTGCTTTCGGCTCATTGTGTGGCTTTGGAACAGCGCTGGCATAGGAGTAATGGCCAGTTTTCCTAAACGTGCTAACCAGTATAATTTTAACTACTGCAGTGATTTCTGCATTTAGTCCAAATTGGTGTTGAGTAGCAACTGGTTTCCCGTGATCACTGCAAGGTGTGTTCTCTCCTCCAGAGACCCACATATGCACCAGGACTCTGTCCATGATTCTACCCTGGGGATCCTCACATTGGTTGTAGGAATGAACCAACTCAAGTAGCTTATGAATTACAAGCGTAAGGAATCCTGTTACTGTCCAGCCCAGTTTCCAGTTAGCTGTTGAGGTTTTGATTTATGGTCAGCATTTACTCATTGTAGTGAAGTGTTTCCTGTCATAATTCTGGAGTTGGCTGCTTATTTCACTGCTGATACTTTCTGATTTAATCCCTTCAATGTCTTCTTTTATTTTCTTCCTATCTCAGTTGTGTCTCAATTACAGTTCTGTCTTCAGAACTGAAATTGATTACTTTCTTGGGTGGATCTCTGAGAAGAGTCTTAGAAATGTGTCTTAGAAAAAGCAGGAACTGTATTGAGTCTGGTGGAAATGAGAGATGGCCTGTAAAACAAGCAAATACCTGTAGTTTTGACAACCAAAATGAAAGGATTAGATAAAAGAAAAAATAAAAAGTACTTTATGGGCTAAATATACAGTTTCCATTTGTCCACCAGAGGGAGGTATATTAACTGGTGGAAATAGAGGCCAGGCCGAACGCTTTCCATAAACTGTGTACAGCTGTCATTGCTTTTAAAAATGGAGTATTCTAATATTGTAATTTATTTTTTTAAGAGCATGTGTGGAGAATTGTTATTTAATAAAAGTTCTTCAGTTTATACCAAAATTTATATGCATCATAGCCGGCTCACTTAGTACATTTAAAAGAACAAAAATTGTGTCTTATTTATGCACAGGATTATTTGTCAGGATTTACTCACTTGAATACAAAATACATTTTCTTTAGAGTATTTGTTTAGGAAATCTAAACTATCATGTTTGTTTAATAAGTTGATTGTATAAGTTTATTCTCAGAGAGCCCTGATTGGGGGAAGATGTGTCAGGAAAAACTTACGTGATTTTAATTTTAAAAAACTTCAAGCCATTATATGTAGATTAATTTTGTTGTATTTTTTTGGCATAATTTTTTTTTGTCTAAGCCGGTTAAATTAATTAGATTATAATAATTAATTACTGCTTTCTGTAATCACATAGCTGAAAGATATATTTCTCTTCTTCCAGGTAGGTATGCACTTAAATTATCCAAGGATCTTAGCTACTTATATTTTACTTTAAAATCTACAAAGAGGGTATTACACGCTTAACTACCTCAGGAAAAAAAGCAACTAAAATAAATTTAGTAAGGAAGTTCTTCCTGAAACTGAATTTCTTCCTGTTGAAATTTAAGTTCACACCTCTTGGGAAAGTAAGGATTTAACTTGGACTTAGTCAATTTTAGCTTATTTATACTCCTGGAACCAGATAGTTCTTCCTTCCTGATTCTGAATGCAAAAAGAATACAGCCAAAAGAAATGTAACATTGTTGATTCCTGAAAATTTTACTCCAGTTTAAAAATCCTTATTAGAAAACCCGTATGTCAGTAAAATATACAGTTCAATGATACATACTTTTTTTGAGCAGCTGTTGTGTACCAGGAGCACAATATTAAAATGGTGCACATGGCTTGCTGTCTGTCAGAGATGTGCTTCCTGAGATTTCAGCAATATGCTTTATTCTGAAACCTTGCCCCCTCTCACTTTTTGGCTTCCTTGCCAGATTGGCAGAGTTAAGCTTATAATGTCTCTTGAAGAGAGTTAGGCTTCTAGCTGGGTATTGTTTCCTATTTGATTTAATATCAATGTTTCTTTTATCCTGTAGGGAGAGTTCTGTTTTAGAGTTTGTGGGCAATTTGCATTATCAGCAAGAGGCTGGGTTGGAATAAGAAGGGGTTCCATGTCAACAAGTTCTAAAGTAAAACGCATACAGAATTTTTAATTGCAATAAATGATGAGGCATGATAAGTTCTTGGTGACTCTAAATTAGTGGACGTCACAAGGAAAACAAGGCTATATAAAGTATACATTATTACACCTTGATTATTTTTATGCACATTGTTATTCACAGTTCATAAAGATGCTGTAAGACTAAATTAGTATTTATAAAGTATTTAAGAATACCTAATTAAGCATATTGTGGATAGGCACAATATTATTAAACATAATATTTTGCATTTATATGTCGCTTTTCATTTGGTTCTCAGTTCTTCTCGGGAAATTGAAGCACAGGCAAATGTTCACATGATAGAATATAATAAAGTTTCTCTTTACAGTGACCTAATCATTTTTGCAATATTTTTTAATGAAAAATGTCAAACATGCAGAAAAATTTAAAGAACCTAATAATTGTACATGTTCTCTTTCATTATAGATAACACAATTATATTTTCTCCAGGGCTAAGGCCCTTGGGGGTATAGTTATTAGATCGATCTGACAGGTTTTATAACCAAGTTCATGGTGCATATGAAAATGTCCTACTTGCTGCCTTAGGAGTTTAGGATGCTGCGTGGTATCTTTTTGTAGCTTTGGGGAAAAAAAAATCATGGATGACAAGACATCCATTCTGTCTCCTAAGAATTGAAGATCCATGGAAAGGGTAGAGGAGGAGGAGGGAGGATGAAAGGAAATTAATATTTATTGTGAGCTGATATATGCTGGGATAGTACTAGGTATCTTCGCGTATACAGTGTTATCTTATTTGATCCACACGACTACCCTGTGAGGTATTATTATTCCCATTTTATAAATAAGGAAACAGGTTCGGAGAAGTCAAGTCACTTGTCTAGGGATGTGAATTCAATTTGAATTCAAATTTATGCTCTTTCCACTATACCTGGACGCATCCTTTGCAGGATCTTTTCGGGGCCTTGACTATAAGTGTCACGTTGAACGAATTTATGTAGTATATGTAACACTGTGTGTGTGTGCATGCTCTTCCTCATCACGCACATTTACGTTTACTTTAACAATACACGTTAATAGATTATATGTGATGATGTGAATAAAACTGTAGATTTAAAACCAGGACATGGATTTGAGTCTTTCAGGTGCTTTATGAAAATAGGGATAATTACTGCTCCTTTTCCACTTCAAAGGACCGATGTGACCATTAGGGAGCCAAGATGAGTGGGTGTCAACAAGAATAAACGACGACTCCTAAACGTCCAGGGAGGCTGGCCCTGGTCCGGGAGACTGGCCGGCACGCCCCCGCCCCGCTGCATCCCGGGACTCGTAGTCCCGAAGGCCGCGGAGGCTCTCACTACGAGTCCCGCGAGGTCCCATGCGCGGCCGCGCATGCGTGTGAACGCCGAAGAGCGCGGGCGGGGCCGGGCGGGAGAAGTAAAGATGGCGGCGCTTGCGTTTCCGGCTTCTGCTCCCGGCTGAGGCTCTCCGAGGGGCAACACGGCGACTGGAGCCGCCCCCGCGGCGTGGGGCGGGAGGGCGGCGGCGGG